CGCCTGCTCTTCTTCAGGCACAGGAGGTTTGTCTGGAGAGGGGAGATTGCTCTCCAAGGGATGCTGTGCTCGCAGTTTTGTTCAGCCTAGTCGTTAAAGTTAGAACCGAGCTCCACTGTGGAATTGTGCCAAGCCTCCTCTGACAGTTTGTATTCGAGCAAAGTTTCTCCTGTTGTGGTGATCAGGCATTAAAATAACAATATTGGAATGTCTTTAAAATGAAGATTTGATTTTTTCTCTTTTGAAACCAGTAAGGCTGAATACTTGACTTCTAGAAGGAGCAGTTTGGCCAAGAGGGTTCAACAGGAATCGAGCCAGGCACCAATCTAATTGATTGTTGTGTATAAGGCTCCTTTTAATGTTCTTCATCCTCTTTTACAGCCAGAGACATCGGTTTTCTGGCTGGGGTACGCTTTGCCCTCCTCCGAGCACAGGGATGGGGCTGGAGCCCCAGAGCTTGGCTCCGACTGGTGCCAGCAGTGGATGTGTTTACCGGATAACCATGCCTTCAGCTCCCAGAGCTCCCAGAGGTGGTCCTGGTGGGACCGGGGAGTGCTGGTCCTCTTTTTTGGTGATTTATGGTGAGTCCTTGTGCCCCGAGAGATCTGAAGGCATGCAGCACCGATCAACCCAGTTCTCAAATACTGTGTTCATCCATGAATTTGCCACGTGCGGTCCTGTTGTCGCAGCTGTGTGGCTCCGCTCACAGCTGGAGGTGTTCCGGCCACCTCACCCAGTAGACAGGAATTGCTGGTTTCAAGGGTGATCCAGTCACCAGATGTTGCAGGGTACAGCAAGCATCTTTGAACTTTTGTTGCTTTTTCTCTCTCTCTCTCCTAGTGCTGTGTAAATCAGGAGTATCTGGTTTGTAAATCTGCAGATAGTTTGTGCTTCTGATGTGACTTGACTTTATTTTCAGAAAACATTGCTTGCTGTGCGCAGAGACCCAGAGAGCACTTGGCAGATAATGAATGTGCCGTTACTGTTTTGGGACTGAAGGGCTTCGCAGGCCTGGTTTGTGAACCTTAGACCCCATCCCTTTTTAGGTGTTGACTGCTGACTAGGACAAAGCCAGTTAAATTAATTCCTGTTAATCCAGGGCTCTTGTGCGCGTGGGACACCACCACGGCCTCATCACGTCCCTTAAACCCAGTGCGAGGCACCGTGGGATGCTTCGCCTGGGATTCCAGGCATCCCCACCTGCACAAAGAGGAAAGTCTCTGCTTGCAGAGCTCCATCCTCACTGCCATCCTCAAATGCTGTGTGCAGGACGGTGCCCAGCAGCATCTTTCCAAGGAGTCTCATGTCCTACCCTACGTGGGATAAGCATAGCGGTGGTAGAGTATCTGCACACGTATATGCTTCCATGCGTGCCTTTGCATCCTTTCTCGTGCTCCTGGGTGGAAGGGAGGAGTGTGGCCTCAAGCGTTTCAGACGTGACCGCAGGTTTTAGTGACTTCTGATTTTGGGATGCCTGTGGAAGGTATTCGCTGTGGGAAGCACTGAAGCTCACTCTTTGCTGCCAACCTGTAGCTTCATTTCTGAGGATGGGACAGATACGATTATCACTTTTAAAGCTAACAGTCCCTGTAAAGATGCAAACCAGCCTGATCTCTCCACTTAGGTAGTGAAGCTGTAAAATGACTCGAATAGTTGTCATTCTCAGATAGCATCGGCATTCAGCAAGGCCATTTCCCTGACTGTGCCTTTGGAAATGCCTCCCAATACATATGCAAATGCAAACTTATCAGGCCTCTTTTTTGACTGACAGCAAGAAGTTTGGGGGGCGGGGAGCTTGCCTGGGACCAAGTGGCAGTGCTGTTAAGCCTGTGACAATGTGGAAGAGCCGGGCAGGTGAGGGTGAAGAACCATCCCGGTGAGTCAGGTGGGTAGTGGAGCTGTCAAGGAGCAGCCCCTCAGCGAGCATCCTTCCAGGTCTCCTGGTGCCGTCTCTGCCTTCCCTGCACGCAGCTTAGATCTCAGCCTTTTAATACTCTTTTCCTGAGGATTTCCTACTCCCTGCTCCCTCCCCCAAGGATAAAATGGAAGGGAAGAAAAGGAAAAAGTATGGTCTTTCATGCTTAGGTTGCAAACTTCAGTCTGGTTTGCTGTTGTCTCATCTTTAAAACACTGGATAAAGCAGAAACTGCCCGGTCAACTCAATTAATGCAGCAATGAACAGCCCTCATGTACTCTCTTGTAGAGGGTGGAGGGCATCTCGGATGGATGCAGGGCAGAATTTAACATCTGTAGTAAGAACACAGCAGAAACCTTGGACAGCTGGTGGGGGCAAGGCATGGTGAGCTGTTTGCTAGAGCACTTTTGCATATGGAAAAGCTGAAAAGTCCTGAAATGTGCTGCCTCTGGTAGCAGCATCAGTGGGGCTTGGTGTGGTGCTCTGCTTTTCTAGGTAATGAGCAGGACTACTTCACTTGGTTAGTGCTTTTCTGAAGGAATCAAGAGTATGGTGGTTCTTAAACGCTCCTAGGGAGGTAACTTTTCAGTTAAATCTTAGCCAGGAAAGGTACATGAAGTGTTTCTCATTTTCTCTTCAGCAATCCTTTGGAAGTGAGTTGGTAAACCAGGGCTTGATTTATTGGCCCCAGTGACCCACCCCAATGTGAGGTGATGAACTCTAGTTTTGTAACATGAATTCAGTATAAATGGTACAAGTTTAAAAAATAAAAAACCGAACCAACCTGCGATCCACGTTCCCTTCACTTGTCTGAAGTCTGTTTACTTTTATAAACTGCCTTTTGGAAGCTGATACCTGGAACATGATGATTAATTATCCGCTCATGGAAGATAAGGTAGTAAGCATAACTGATAGTGTGAAAACGGCTAATGTTAGATCACACGTGTAATCTTACTCAGTTCTGGATGTTCAGCTGAGAGGCAAGAGGAAGTCTTCTCGGTCTGAAAGTAAATGGTGTTTCCATTCTCTGTGTGTAAGCTGGGACCTGGGCTGTGGGACAGGGGCATCTCCAAACTACGTCATGGCAACCGGCCAGTTGCATCCGTGTTGAGTGATGTGCCACAGTTCCCATAAATCTGCTCACAGATCCGGGAGAGAAATCGAGGCACAGTTGCTGTGCTGCGCTTCTGAGTGCTTTGGCTTTCCTTTGCATGCATGGTGGGAGTCTCTCTGTGCATAAGTAGTCTTTTTTGCCTGTCCACCTTCGGGCAGCTCCGTTGGAGTGATGGCCGTTGCGACTGCCTAGTTCCTGCCAGAATAAGGTTTCTGAAAAAAAACTGAAAGAAAAAAGGAAAGAAAGAGCCACATTGGGTGATATTATTAACATGACCTGGGGGAAGGAAAAATCCTTCAGGTACCATAGGATATGTCCCTGGACTGTGAGGTATGTGGGAACGTTGGGAGGAGTGACCTGAAGCTCCCTGGGGCCAGGGCAACAGCTTCCACTGGTTTTAGCCTTATCTAGATCTGACTGGGACAACTGTTGATCCATCTGCAAGCCTGGAGGCATACAGACTGGCTAGCTGGTGATGCGCCTGGGACAAAATCCTATGCACGCAGGCAAAACTTTTGGGCTTTATTCTTTTTTTCTGTCCATCAATTGAATGTTGTGGTTAGAACTTCTTCACCTTCCACTGAAGGAAGTGGAAGCTTTTGCTCTGGGTTCCCAAAATGGACACTTGCTTTATTCCAGTTGGGTAAAATGTTAATGCATTTCTTTGTCAATGTGAACAGGTGGGTTGTGGTTTTTTTTAATTATTAAAAGCATCAACACTTAAAAAGTGGTCAGAGGGGCCCAGAAGAAAGCCATGGATATGGCAAGTAGCTTGTAGTAGCAGACACATTTATCTGTGGCCTCCTGCTGTTGTCTCCTCCAACGGAAGAAGAATGGTCTCTCCGGGTGAGGGGGTGGGAAAATCTCTGCTTGTATTGATTCCCACTTGTAAATGCCCACATATTTACCTAAAGGGTAAGATATATTACAGTTAAAATGGTGGCAAAGAGAAATGGCTGTTCCCTGTGGGTTGGTATTGATTGGACGTGCAGCTACCCTGTGCTTATTCCTCCTCTTCTTCACACGGCCTTTAGGCCAAAGTCCTTTGTTTTTATTAGCGTATTTTATGATCAATATACATATTATTTACTATGACGTATTAATGAGGCCTTTGAGATGAGGCGGTGCAGGGGCAGAAGCAACGGGTGAGGTTCATCCCATTTAATTTGAGATCTCTCCAATATAGACTTTAGCATCTATGTCCCCTTGGGCTTCCTTTGTCGGCCACGTAGAGAAAGGCACTTTAGTGTCATGATTTATGTCAGCTATGTCTTCTTTAGAGGGAGAAGAGCTGCACGCTCACTGTGCTCTTTCTCTCTGCTGATGGGAAGGCAGCCTGGGTGGCTACTTCCTATGCAACCATCTCAAGTCAGGTGAGGTCAGTCTGGTTCGAGGTAGTGTGGTGACCATTGCCCATTCTTCCAGTGCAGCTGTGCTAGCCCCGGTGAAAGAGAGGAAACCGCCTTTCTCGGTGGCAGTCAGATGTCAGCCCTGGCAGTCCCCAAGCCCCTGGGCACAGCCGCCCAGCTCAGAGAAAGCCCCGTTCTCTGTGATGGAGACCTCTCGGAGCTCAGTGGCCCCTGCCGTGCTTAAGCAGAGGTCTGGCTATCTGAACAATTTAATATCTTGCTTATATCAAGAACACTCTTCATCCTCTCAACATTGCTTTAACTTTTTGTTTTTTTGATACTGCCTTATTTAGCCTGTTGGTATTTTTGGTGTTGAAGGCTGCTGCGTACAGGTTCCTTGTGATTAAGCCAGGAAATGTGCCCTGGGCTGGTACACTAGATGCAAGACCTTTGTAGAAACACCTGTTTCCATCTCTGCTGTAAGTTCATTGAGTCCCCCTGATGGATTTGTCGATGTTGAGGTCTCGAACACTGAGGGTACAGCTGGAGTTTCTTATAGCCAGCAGTCATAGGTCACTCATCCAAGGGGCTGCGGTGGAGGGCTCCACTTGGAAGCATCTTTGTCATTGCCTGCGTCTGCCTCCTTGCTGGGATGCTGCCTGTGTGCCAGCCCGCTTGGCTCCCAAGCTGCAGGGTAGCTGCTGTCCCTGAAAACAAGGCTCAGGACACTTAAACTAGTTACTAAAGGTGGGTCATATCTGGAAATATGTTCTCCACAGTAGTGCGTTCAAATTTGTTTTCTTCTTTCGAATTTCTATAGAGATATCTTGTTCTCAGCTGTCCTATTGAAGGAAAAGACTTGTACTGGTTAAAATGCAATTTTCTATGGGCCTTTGATGGAATTATCCTCTTAGACTTGTCAAAAGCAATCAGAATATGGGGAATAAACTGTGTAGGTTACGTGTAAATGATGTGGTCCTCTGGAGGCATTTCATCAAATAAAGCTGAGGTTCGAATTAAATGGTGATCTAATTAAGTGGCAGGCATGGGAACCCAAAATGCAGCCTTGGCAGGTGTTACACTCAGTGTGTGTGCGAAGATGAGGGACATGAACATTGACAGTAACAGAAGCATTGTATCTGAAAGCTCAGGGGTTAAAGCTTTTGTGCGGACAAGGCTGACTCCATCCATGCAACCTGGGTGATACTGGAGTCCTACCCTGGGAGGCGTTGGGCTTTTTATCTGCCCCAGCATGGCTGTGGCCTTGCTTGCATCTCACACAGACATATCCATGGCAGGGTCTGCTGATGTTGTCCCCTCAGTGTGGCCCTGCAGCATCCTGCTGTGTTGGGGCTGCCCTTTGGAGATGCTCTGGGAGCAGAAGGATGGAGAGTGGCTGATCTCACTGGTGGGTGAGGTGGAGATGAGGTGCTTAAACATTCAAAAATGTCTGGTATGCATCACAAGGTGTG